CTTCCCCCTAATGCTCTGTCCGTCAGTCGCGTTACCGAGGGCAGCATCTCGAAGGCCCTTCTGCTTCCCAGAGCCCCCTCCACTCCCTAGTCCGCACCTCCACGCGTGGATTTCCGCTCAGCTTCCTAGCTTGCCGCCTGACTCCAGGTGTCTCTTTCCTTCTTGCCTCTGCCTTTCCCAGTCACGTGTGTGAGCGTGTGAGCGTGTGTGAGTGCGTTTAAACTCTACCGTGGCTCCCGGTTAGCTGGTATATCACGTCCAAACGTGGGGCGTCATGGCACAGTCCACCCCGCGGCCTCTTCTTCCTGTGCCTGCCCATTAAATGCGAATGTTCTTCAGGGCTCAGTATGGGGCCCTCCTGTCTACCCGTCATTCTGAATTCTGTTTTCTTCTTATTTCGTTTATTCAACAAATGTTTGTTAAGCGTCTACTTAGTCGGCATTAGCAGGCGCTGCTTTAGGCACCGGAGCAATAATGGTGAACGAAACCCAGCAGCCACCGGGCCTCGTGAAGCCCACGAGCCCTGGGAAGGAGAGAAGGGTCCTGTTCTGAGCTCGTGCTCCATTCCTATGGCCCCTGGTACCTACATGACAGTGGCTCCCAGATCCTGAGACCTGCCCAGTGCTTTAAGTCAGGCAGAGAAGTGAAGCGGGGCGGAGCATGGGCTCTGCAGCCACTCCGACTAGGCCCATAATCCAATGCCTCCCCTAACTAGGGACGTAACCTTGGGCAAGCCTGTTAGGGCTGCCATCACGAAATACCACAGGCTTAAACAGCCGAAAGGTACTTCCTAACAATTCTGGAGGCTGGAAGCCCGAGATTAAGGACCTGGCAGGTTGGGTTTCCCCCGGGGCCCCCACGCGGCTCCTTGGCTGCTTTCTAGCTTTGTCCTTACACAGCCTTGTCTCTCTGTGTGCACGTCTCTGGTACATTTCTCTCTTCTTATAAGGACACCAGTCGTATTGGATTAAGACCCCACCCTTATGACCTCATTTAGCCTTAGTTACCTCTTTAAAGACCCTAAATCCAAATACAGTCACATGGGAGGTTAAGGCTTCAATGAATAAATTTGGAGGGGACGAATTCGGTCCATAACAGCAAGTTACTTAACCTTAAGCTTTGGTTTCCTTATCTGTAAATTGGGAATAATAAAAATAATAAATATTAAAATGTAAAAAAGTTCACTAGGTTATTATAAGGATTAATTGAGATGACCCGGGTAAAGTATTAAGCATAATATCTAGTACTTAATAAATGTTAGCTGCTTATAAATAATAACATTAGACTAGATTTCTTACAATCTCACAATCCCAGATGTTCCTGTGGGGTGGGGGGACAGTGATACACAGGAGGGCCAGGAGCCTGAAGTTTGAATGCTTGACCGAACCTCTGGCAAATTGCTAACCTACAACAACTTTCATTTCTCTGAGCTATAAAGAGGAACAGTAATAGCTATTTGTTTGCATCATTGTGACAAAGAAGTTACTCAAGACAAATACTTAGCAAATACACCAATGAATAAATCTAAAATAAGGAGCACTGGACTGCCTCTTCCAAGTCTGCAGTTTAAACAGAAACAAACTTTGAGCGGTTAGCTGGTGTCTTAAGGGAGTGCAGGCCGTCCTGCTTTCGAAGGGACTGCAATATCAGAATTTGTCGTCTAAACCAGTGGTGCTCGAAACCAGTGGGGCATCAGAATTACCTAGAGAGCACTGTGAATATACAAATCCCTAGGCCCCATGCTACAAGGTCTCTTGCTTAATAAGCCTGGGATAGTGTCTGAAAATCTGTATTTTTATAAAAGTTTGCTATTATAAAAGTCTTTCTGAGTATCAGCCAAGTTTGAAACTATGGGCCTACAGCCACGCTGCCCAGTAGAAGTATAATGGAAGCCACATGTGCGGTTTAAAATTTCCAAGCAACCATGTTATAAAAAGTTTTAAAAAGTGAAGTTAATCTTAATAGTATATTTTATTTAAGCCAATTTTCCAAAATATTGTCATTTCAAACGTAGTCAAAAAATATTATTGAGAGATTTACATCCTGTTTTTATACCGTCTTCAAAATCCTGTGCACATTTTGTACTTATCACATATCTCAGTTCAAATGCAAAATTTCTATCAAAAATACTTGATCAGTATTTATATTTCATAAAATTTACATTTTAAAAAATTGATTCACAAGTTATCCCAAACACAGTTAAAAGTTTTCCAATAATTGAACTGAGTATCAGTGTTCTCATTTAAATTTAAATTCATTAAAATTAAGAAAATTTTAAAACTCAGGTCCTGGGTAGCACTCGCCCCTTTTCAAATGCTCGGTCATCACCTGTGGCCAGTGGCGCCTGCGGTGAGCAGGGCAGGCCCAGCGACCACAAGTCACGTGATGAGTGCACATTCCTGAACTCTGCCACGGTGGCGGACAACTGGCAGAGCTCCTTAAAGAATTCAGTGTGAATACGGTAAAAAGTATAGACTAAACCCTCTTGTGATTACGTAAGGTTATTAAAATCTAAGAAAAACTGAAACCTATTTAGAGGTTTTGAAACTAAGAGTTGCAAAGATTTTAATTGGAAGAATCCAAGGTCAAGGCACCACCAGCGAATAAAGCCACGAGCATGGCCGTTTGCGCGGGACATTCGGACACGCGGTGCTCCACTCACCGGGGAATTCAGTTCAGATATTAACAGGTACAGAGGGAGAGAGAAAGGGTGAGGTGACAGGAATTTTTTTCAAATATATATGAAAAGAACAGTAAAGTGCTAAAAGCACAAAGTACTGCAAGTGAAATGAGACTAGAAACAAAACTAGAAACAAAATCAAACATCAAAATCGGAAACAAAATATCTGACCCGGACATAAGAAAATAGGTTAAAGTGCGTAAATACAGCGGTGATAGAAAGCTGCTTTGCGCGGTAATCTAGAAACTGGTCGAATCCCTTGGGGCACTGGATCCTAAGTATTTTAAGGACGAAGTGGGGGAATGAAAAACAAAGACTTAAGAGTTAATCATAAAATCACAGTAGATTCACTGCAATTTCCAAACTATTTTAAGATGAATAGCTGATAAAATGGGAAACGTTAAAGGAAACTCATCACTTAGCCTGAAGCACAGGGTCAGAATAATGGGGGGGGGG